TGTGTGGTTGAAAATACTCCAATGTATGAAAAAAAAGTCCAATTTAGTGATTACCTTCTATTTTTCCCTTGAACTTTTTTTTTTTAATGCTTTTTGGTTCTTAAATTATTGGCAAAACACCCTCTTAAGTTCCCCACTCAAATTAATACGTGCTTCCTACACTAAAAATGATACAAATAAGCTTTCAAACCCCTCAAATTAGCTCACAAACCCCTTGAATGATGCAAATTAGCCTTCAAAACCCCTGAAAGATGTAAATCAACTATTATTATTAATGACCCCATGCATATGACCTCACACTGTCTATTCTTTTTCTTTGCTTGGTCTCACTGTTTTACGTGGATATTAACGTAGAAAAAAGGGCTCTTGAGCAATAAAAATCCTACCAAATTGGTTTGTATGGCTTAAGAACACTAAATAAAAAAAGAGGCCACATGAGGTATTTTGGCAAGATTTTTACCACATTGCCTCCAATAGCTCTCTCACTCTTTCATCATGGCTTGGCCTCCAACAATGTCTCTCTTATTTTTATTTTTTCATTAAGGTAAATATAAATAAAAACATAATATTTTCACAAATACTTAATCATAAATTTTTTTTTTTTAAAAAAAGGAGAATGAAGAAAATTAGAACGTCTTGATATTAAAAATGTCAAAATATTCAATCAAAATCACATGATAAATAAGACATAATGTAGATCCCACTTAAACCATGGTTCTGATTAAATGTTCTGACATTTCTAATGTTAGAATATCTTAATTTATACTTTTTTTATTAAAAAATATATATATTTGTACATAAAATCACACTATAATCAATAGTCACTCTAAATTTGTCATTAGAAAATGTACAAAATCCCAATTCAAACATATCTAGTAATTAGCAATCATAATTCAAATAGGTTTGGTAATCAAGAAAGATAATGATTAGTACATCCCATTGGTCATGGGATGAGACTTTAGCTAGTCATCGTGTGCCACTTAACTCGAAATAATCCCTAAACCCGAACCAAGTCAACCTTCCCCAATGCTTGGCGTGGCCCACCCACTGGACTTTGAGGTTAGCAACACGTAAAAGACAAAGCTAGGAAGTTGGGGGGAGAAGAAGAGAATTTATTAGATCATAAGGAAGTGTTACAAGAGCTTAGAGTACACAGCCCCTTTACGCCCTTACTCACCTAGCAGCTCACCCTCTAACCCCCCCCCCCCCTTTCTTTTATTGGCCTCCCTCTTATTTATAGAAAGGGTCTTGCCCAAGCCCTTCTGCAAGTGAAAGCTCTAAAAGAGTAGGCCGAAGAGGCATAGACTCCTCTAAACTTTTAAGATATAAAACTTTAATCCTTGAAGTTATATTTTTATTATTTCGATCCTTGTTTGATTCATAAATTTTAATTATTTTTTAACCTTTATTGTTTCAAAGAATAGTTTTAATGATTATGAGAAAATTGAGGAAAAATAAAATAAAATATGATAAAAGTAAAGATTAATTGAATATAAAGTGTTTAATATCATCTTTTTATAAAATACTAATACCCTTTTTTGTTCATTAATACCACTTCTACTTTTGTCTTTTTACTAATGTTATTCTATTTAATATAAGTTTATTTCATCTTTTAGTTGATGTCATATATATTATATCATCAATTATTATTAGTTAATAGTTAAAGACTAACAAATTTTAGTTTAAAATACAATTTTTATTAAAATTTTCCATTTATTGAAGTTTTAATTAATACAAAGATGCATGATTCTTTTTTTTTTTTTTTCTAAAATTTCATTCGGCTCCTTCAAAAAACGTTTTAACTTACACTATGTAATTCAACACACTTTATAATAAAAAATTATTATTTTAATTTAAATTAAAGACACTAAACTAGCGACTGTTAATAAATGCATTGAACATATGATATGCCAATAATTTTCCAATAAGGAATCCTAATTCAAATAGGTCTAGTAATCGATTACCCAATAAATATTTTACTAGCTCACTCTTAGATTTAGTGGTAATCGGACATGTTTGAGCAACACTACGTACATCCCCTTTAATCTTGTTGAGAAAATACTTTCTAGACTTCCATTCAAGTTTTTAATGTGGTTCAAATGCATATGCAAGGAATGTGATCTTTTATTTTCCGACCCAAAATTCAACAAAACCCACCAGCTTTTAAGCGAGACTTCCATAGATAGTAACAACAACAATCTCTTTTTCTATAACTGTTGTACTTATGATTTTGATGATTACAAAACACATTTGAGTGACTAATTGGTTTATTTAAGTGTGTAGTTAAGTTGCTAAAAGATTATAAGTAAACTTGGATGGCACTAAAAATAGACCAAAAGGATTCAATGTGCAGAGAGCCGGCTCTGGTAAAGTGCAGCCGGCTCTGGTGAAATGGAATGCAAAAAGCCGGCTCTGGAAGCTGCAGCCGGCTCTACAGGCAAAAATTTGAAGACCGTTGATTGGCGCGCGAGGAGAAAAGGCGCAAAGCCGGCTCTGGCTTTGTAGCCGGCTATGAGGGTGCATTTAATGCACAACGGTCGAGTCATTTGAAGATTATTAATGTATTTAAAGTCAGAGTTGCAAAGCCGGCTCAAAGTTTTGTAGCCGGCTCCCGAGGAAAACAAAATGGTCTGCAGACCCGAATAGCCGGCTCTGGAAATGTAAGCCGGCTCTGCAGAGCCGGCTCTAATATGTTAAGCCGGCTCTCCTGACAATTCTGCAGCTCGAGCTTTGTGTCCTGCAGAGCATTTAATGACCCCCAACGGCTAG